CTTTCGGAAGAATGTTCTAGAATTCCAACGTGTAGCTTCCCGATTGGATAACGCTAATAACCCCCTGTACGCGGATTGGAAGACTGTAATGACGATTTCGTCCTCACTAAAAACTATAAATACCTGACAATTTTGTACTATGTTTGACATTGTTTGGAATAATATTCCTTCGTTAGTCTTCTGTCTTCTTATTGCGACTTGGAAGGGTTTGGAGTTCTAGTGCTCAGTTATACGCGGTTGTATCAAGAGAAATCAGCTTTTTCAAGTTATAACATTAACACTTCTGGACATTTTCTTAAACACCTACCTAAGCTTAGTCCCAGTACAAATCCAAGTGGCAACATCCAGAAACTGGAGATACAACATAGCAGAAGGGACTGTATACACGAATTCTACTCTTTAAGAGTTGTCAAATGCTGGAGTTCTCTGCTGACTGAACTAGTCCAAGCGACGTCCCAGGAAACTTGACCTATTGTTAAGGACTGTAGATCACCAACGTAGATGCTCTATGTCGAAATGATTGGAGACCTACTCGAATTAGACGGGAATGGTGTGACGAAACAGCTAACGTCGAAGTCACACCTCGTGATCAGAACCTTACGTGGACTACCCCATTGACGTATCAAGGTGCTATAGATGCTTTGAAGACTGTACAACACAGAGGACGTCATTACAGAAACATATCAGTTAAAGTAGATACAATCGAAAGTAAGACCACTGCCGCATGAGCCAGTCCATGGCGTACGATTAACTGATGCGCGTTGGTTGTCCTTGGACTTGGTAGGGATCGATGGTCTGTCCGACATTCAATGACCTAACCGCCGGATGATTTGGCTAGGGCTCAGTGACATTTCGCTGGCCCTACAGGACTAAGGATAACATCTTATTATGATTTGCCAATTTCTTTTTTCCTCCATTATCGTTAATATACCTAGGTTCCTGCCTGAAGGTATTGGTGATCCCCTGTTACTAGACACGGAAGCCCGTTAAGCGAAAGCTGCTTCTATTCCGTCCACAATCATTTGAACTCTTTGAACCATTTTAATTATGTCCAGCAGAATCTAAAAGTTTTCTTCAGCCGAGTAGTCAGATCAAACTTAGCAACGCCAAAGACCTGGGAGAGGTTTTTAAATACAAAACGCTGGAGCTAAAGAGACAGTATATCACAAAGGTATTGGAAATTGTATAATTCATATTAATTCTCGCGCGCTCAATCCACGAGCAACTACCTTGGATCTGATTGGCTTCCTCACACTTGCCTGAAGGACGGTAATGCATCATTTATGTTGGTTTTCTTTTTTGTTGGGATCGTGAGAGTTTGGTAGTCTTGAGTATTCAGGTTCTCATATGAAAGTTCAAGAACTTTCCTAGTTAGGACTAGTAACTAAACCCTATGCTTTGAAAAACACATATTTTGCACTACATGACGGATTATGAGGCGAATTACCTAGATCTTATTGTTCATTACATAGTTTAGTGTGGCGTCCTTTACTTTCAGATATTTTTATGATGACAGTTACATATACAGTATCGGTATGCATAAAAGACTTTAATGTCCTTTAATTTTGAACAGAAATAAGTTTGTGACGTCACTATAGTGAAGACTATTGTCTTCAGTAATAATGATATATCCTTTTTACTATAGTAAAAGCAAACTAGTGAGAACAAATCATGATTAAGATTTATTTTTCAATTCATTTCAACTGATGTCAGACATTTAGTAAATCCCACAGTTGTTTATTGGTTGCTAAAGTGAGGATAAAACATTTAGACATACTTCCATTGTCATTTATATTTATTCAGATGTGTTTTGTTGATCGAATCCCGGATAGCTGTTAGTCTTCCAATCATGTTTTCGTATGCATATAATCTCAAGAATTGTGCACGTTGGTGATGAATTTATAATTGATAGCTGATCGACTCTTGCTTATATGAGCGAATAAGTTACAGACATGTCCTAGTCTCCCTATTTTGGAAAAATATTGAGAAATCCCCAAGATTGTGGGGGACTTCCTCATATCTGTGGACATTTCGGGGTCTTTGTGCAATTTACACAAAATTTTCTATAGCGACTTCCCCGAAATCGGGAGATTAGGTTGCGCTCATGTTACCTTGTGACTTTACTTACGGGTGGTAGATATTTACCAGACATATTACGCGGGAGCATTTACATACTGCTAATGCTTGTTAAAAAATTATGATGGCCGATTATATTCGAAGTTAACTAGCTATTTCGATCAATTAAACTAGTTAGTTAAGTGTGAATACTAATCGACATTAATATAAAGCAGCGAATGTTTGCAGTAACTGACAAACCTATGCGATGATAGAAGTGAGTATAGAATGCAACCATAAAGATAATAACAGGTTGCGTTACTCAAAGTCTTACTCGCCAGTGTAGGTTGTCAACGTCGGCGATATGTGTCGATGATCTGGGGCTTACTCGGCCTGAACGAGAATGTCGTGGCTTCCCAGCTTACTTCAAAATCACATCTCGCGGTTATTAGCTAACATGGATTACCCTTCAATCGTATTCAGGTACTGTTGTTGATGACTGTACAACTAAAACAACGTCATGACAGGAATGTATTAGTAAGAATAGATACAAGAACAGAGTATGACCACTGCAGTTAATTGATGCACGTTGGGTGTCTTTGATATTGACGATGGTCAGCAAGCTGTTTGATATTCAGTGACTCGGATGCCAGATGATTTATATAAAGCCCGGTCATATTTCAATGGCTCTACATGAATTCCAAAGTCCCATATGTTTGTGTGTAAAAAGTTGTTCCAGACGGGCTCAATCGTTCTTAGAATTTCAAACTATCCTATGGTACCAAGTTGTTCTGAATTAGTTGCGGGGAGGGGACAGACAATATCAGGTCCGAAATAATTCAGTGTCATGTACATTATAAATAATCCAGTTCTTAATATGCGGTAGGGTAATATGAAAAAGTTTAACTTGTGCAGCCATCCAGATAATCCGAGTCTCCCAAATTGTCTAAGCAGAGGTCCTCTGAACTGTTTTCAGACGAGCCAGATTTTAACTTTTTTATTTCGCTCCTTCTCTTCAAACCATGTTCGCTATGTTAAGTTTTGGTATCATTAATACTAATATTATGTCAAATTATTTGTTATTTACCTTGCTAATTTCATCTTTGCTAAAGTGATGCAGCAGTTCAGGTCAATGTATTTTTTATTCATAGTCATACGTTGATTATGACTCTCTAGGCTGTTTCATTCTTATGCAAATACGTACAAATCGCACGTAGTTGGTCAGCGATCATTCAGTGTAAATTTCTGTCCTACAGGACTCTAATAGCTACCCGAATAGCTCGTTTTTTATGACATGGGGTGATGTCAGCTCAAATTATGAATAGCATCGGTACCCTCAAGAATTCAAATACGTCTTGCCAGCGAGTAACAACTAACACAAAATCCAAGTTTAGGACTTCCTGCCAATTACCTCGAATCACCTAATAATAGCTTGTAACCGTCTGCTTTTTCTTAGTGCACGTTTACATTGTTCAACTTCTCACAGAAATGGTAAAATCATATAGTTGATTTTAGTTACACGAAATATTTTGTTAAATCAAACTTTTTACTCTATGTTTCCTGAGCTTCAGCTAAGCAGACTTTAGTGATATTAGTGTTACAACATGGTTTACGAGTTTATTTTAAACTTCTAATTTAGATGGATATTGCTGAAATCCTACTCTCACAATTTCCTAATCCTCAACATCCTTATGTTGCTAAAAATGGTGCCTGTACATGGAAAGCCTGCCAAAAGTGGGATCTGCATTATCTGTCAGGGAGAATAAAAAGTAACTTGAAATTTCGTCTGGCTAAAAAAGAAAGTATCGAAGTACAATGGGAGACATCTTGTCCGTCTGTTAATGCAACATTAGCAGAATTTAATGAATGGATAAATGGAGTAGACAATATGAGTAATCCTTTTTCTAAGTACCCTAAAGAATCTTGGTGGGCTTATGCGGATTACATATATATGAATCAGTCACCTGATTTTCAAGGTTTAGTCGAAGATTTATCGTTCCAAGAATTGTTCCCGTTTCTAAAAAGTAATATCAGTCCAACATTTTGGCTTGGATCGTCTAAAGCTCATACCATTTGTCATCGAGATACCTACGGAGTTAATCTGGTAGTGCAAATCAAAGGGTCCAAACGCTGGATATTATTTCCACCTTCGGATAGCCCACATATGTATGAAACTCGATTACCTTTAGAAGAATCTACTGTTTTTAGCAAAGTTAATTTCACATTACCTAACTGCAAAAAACATCCTCTCATATTAAAAACAACTCCCTATCCTGTAACACTTTATCCAGGAGATATTCTTTTTGTCCCAAGAAATTGGTGGCATTTTGTTGAATCATCATCTGAATATGATTTTACTTGTTCAGTAAACTTATGGATTGACCAACCTTCACTTGATAATAAAGCACGCCTTAGAGAATGTCTCACACAATTAGTCGGCTTCTCTTTGTTATCTAATTATGATCGTAGTGATCATAAAGTTTTATTACATCCATCTGAACAAGCAACATATGAAAATGAGTTTTGGTTTAAGCAACTATTGGATTATCTATATATACTTTTTCATCAAAATCCAAATGAATCGTCTTCCAATGGAGAAGAGAATCTAGAAGAACCTTCAAAACAAGCTAAGTTTTCTAGTGTCATCAATTGGACACCTTTAACTTCAGAAAAGCTAGACAGTTTATTTAGTATTTCAGAAGAAAATTCCACATCCGATGTTGTTAATACTCTTAACTTCGAACAGATTGTAGATGCATTCATGAAACCTGATGTTATTGAATTAGTTGCAAAATACCTTGAAAAAGATGTTATAAATAAAGATTTGTAAATAGAAGCATTTGCTTAGTTCCTTTCTTTTGTGCTATACCTTTTATTATCTACTGTTTGTTCATTTCTCATTTATTTTAGGTATATAGTCAGATAACTTCTTCATTGTTGTGCAAATGCAAGCATGTCCATTAAATTCCAAAGATTTGTTAAAATTACGATGTCGATTTCGTACTGGACAGTATACTTTGAGTGATTTAACTGCTGATTCAACCATCAATGAACTACTTCAAACAATTACTTCACTTGTAGGTGTTACACAATCTCGTATATCACTTTATTATGGTTATCCTCCTCAAAAGTTGGATTGTAGCATTTCAAGTCTTAGTAAACATCTCTGGGAGGTTAGTCGTATAACCTTTTAAAAAAATTCATCTATACTAGAAGTGGTTTGGTACATTATATATATATATATATATATATATATATATATATCACTCCTTGATTACCTATGCCTTAGGAGAATAATTACTTCTGAGGCACCTGAAAAGCAGACTGGGTTAGAGGTAGTCTTGAGGCATGATCAAAGACCGAGAGACAACTATTTGAGGTCAGCCAAATATAACTTTTTATGGATAGTCTTTAATATACTCCATTTGCACTTTACAAGTCTTATCTTCATCGATAATCTGTGGTGAAAGATAATGTGTTTTATTTTTGAAATCAACCTTTTCTAACCCCTCTCTCCACTTACATGTAGTGTGTATACTTTCCTCTCGTGGCATTTGTGTCTCTTATACGTTCGTACACTAAGCTGCTATTTCGCAACTCGAACTTCGATAAAGTTAATTGGAGTTCTATCCTCTTCTCCCTTGTCCGCTAACTAAAGTAAAAAGTCTAATTTTATAGAAGCTCTCTTGATTAAGATTTTGCGTAATAAAATAGCATTATTCATTTATTTATTTAAACACATAAATAAGGAGGCACCAAATAGATATGCTCCACATAAATCATTCGATTTATGTGAGGGCTAGGGTACTGCACGGGTGCTCAAACCGAAGCAGGTGGTTTTCTTAGGAAGCCACACCCGGAGCCCTCGACCTCAAGATGTGATCCACAAGGCAATGGAGCAACATCAGGAGATGCAGTCTCATGGTAGCCGGTGACCAATAATAGGTACATACTCGATTTGTTCCTTCAGGATCCTGTAGCCCATGTACACCACTGGTTTGGAATGAGTGTTTTCCAACTCCCCTAGGTGGAGTCTACGTGTCGACCAACCCGGTTAAAGCTCCGGACATTTGCTTTTCGTCCTATGAATTTCTTAAACAACACCCGTGGTACGAGAAGGGAGTGAGTAAGACTTCGCTGGTAGTGGTTGTATTCACGTGACCATGTGAGAGCATTTAGAGAGTGAGACCTGACTCTCCCCACTCTTAGCCGTACCATGGTGTTTGGGGGCAATAAAAGGGCATTCTTATATACAAGTATCGGCATATAATAAAATCTCATAAGCAATCGGAGGATATTAGTTTGTAGGTTTTTCAGTCTCGTATCCCCAAGTAAGAATGAAAATATTCCTATCCAACAGTACCCATTTTTCAGTATCTCACTTAATGTCATTTTTTGTATAAAAAACTATTTTTTAATGAAATGTAACTATATGATGAAATTATTCAGGATAGCCTTTAGTAAGGAAAGTAAACAAGTCTCAGACCAGTGTCTTCAATATTACTTCCCTTTTTGGTCTGACTTTTATGGCTTACACTCTTGATTATCAGTCATTGTTTTGATTGTTTGGAATCGTCATTGTCCCTTCACATCCACGTATATATCACGGTAATGCATATATCTGTGCGAAATTGTCGATACACTTAATGCACTGTAATCTAGTCTATTAATAAAAATCGTCTTATTTTTAAAAATGATATATGAATCTGCAGATCCCTCTTCGTTCGGGTGACATGCTTACTGTTGATGTAACGGAAGAAAAACCAACAAATGTCAACTCACAAACTGTAAATCATCAACCTCATGAACATGAAATAATCACTAATAAACAATCTGAATCACATATTGTCCGATTATCTGCACCATCTGATAATTCTTGTCTATTTACAAGTGTTCTTTTCTGTATGAATAATGAAGACAATCATTTAAAAATTGGTACAGAAGTTGTAACAAATATTGCTGAAGTCAGTAATTTAAGAGAATTAATTTCCGGTATTGTGTTAAGCGATCCAGTCAAGTATTCTGAAGCATTCCTCGGGATGTCAAATGAACAATATTCACTTCAAATTAGACAAGTAAGCAAATGATGATGTTTGTTTTGTGAGTGCTTTGCTTATTCCTTTTTTTGTCTTTTATACGAAAAGTTGTGGAGCGACGACACACTGAATAAATCACTTAGTTTTGAACTAGTAGGCTACAAGCCCTAGTCATATCCCGCCTAACGTAGTATGGGGAGAGCTAGGTAGTATCGCTAGCTCCCTCACCTCCTCGTGCGATGTTGGCTGGTATAAGAGTACTGTAGAAGAAAGCTAGGGTGACCAAACCTAAACGCAGCATGAGCCTACAAAGTCATTGATAATCGGAATGAACCATTTAGGTAGGTTCAAACTGCGTAGTTGAGCCCGCACCATTATCGTAACGAATGATTAAGGACTTTGAGTAATGTGGCTCGAAATTGTTCACAATGGTACAAGTGCATTTACTTTTTATTTTCTCTTAGGTCTTGAGTCCCAAAATCTTATACTTTCCATACCTAATCTTTTTCTACTACCAGTAATACTGTTATTACTTCTGGTATTGTGAGATTTGCCGCTATAATTTTATCTAGCTGCGTGAATGCAATGTAGCAACTTGAACCGATGTACCCAATTTTATTTTGGATATGAATAACTGACAAACCGCTGACACAGTTAAAGTTTGACTCAAAGGTGTTTTACATACGCTTGTCCTTGTTAAATGAATTAAATCACATTTAATAATTGTATTAACTAATAATCATTGTGATAAAAGAAAAGGTGCATCGTAATTTGTATATATTTGTAACAAGAGGGGGAGTTTTCTTTGATCCTGAATTTTATGCTATGCAGTCATATACAAGTTGAATGAATGACTCTGAATTATCTGATTATCGTCACCGTCAAGATTACTTTGAAATGCTTCTGGGTACTTGTATTCGCATTCATTCTTTGTATTGAAAAAAATTTCAATACATAAGGAAGTTAGTCGTGGTTTTAGTATCGTGGAGAGGATAAGTCTACATATAACAAAGTTCATAATACGTTTACTAAAAAGTGGGACACCTTTGATACTGTTTAGAAGTTGTTTGATCTTAGAAGTTAGGGACATACATTAGGTTGATAAGAGGAATTCTACCGTATTTTTGTGAAATCTAGTCTCTCTAAGTTTCAAACGTTCATTCATCATTAACTTCAAGAAGGTTTCTGAGGTATGACGAAAACACTTTGTAATCAGTTACTATGGTCTTTCAAGATGTATTCTTAAGCATAGTGGGAATGGACGTAAAAAGCAATATTAACGTGTTGATCACTTCATTTATATAATATGTATATTAAAAAATAGTTACCCTATTTCTTCTTGTGAACTATACCTTAATTGATCATGTGCTAGTCGTTTCTATATTTTGTAAGTACCATCATATGACATCGTTCCACTTATGCCATATGTTAGCTACACATTATACTATTAGCATCTTTACCCTCTTTTCTTAAGATCACTATTCACCTGAAAATCTTATATTCCTTATATAGTAGCTCAATCGATTTTTGTTTATTAATGAGTTCAGTAACAATTTATGGTGATATTTCTATTTGTTGTTATATTTTAAGTAACCTTAAGTTAGTTTGTGATTTTGTTAATCCATACTTAAAGAATTGGCTCTCTGTTTTTTGCACGGTGTACCTTAATAAATTATATGTTATTTATTTATTTGAACACATAGATATTGGTATAGGGGGGCACTAGATACATATGCGAGAAGGCAGTGAGTAGAACGTCCTTGGCAGAGGCTATATACGCGTGGCCATATGAGAGCATTTGGAGAGGAAGAGTTGACTCTCCCCACTCTCAGCCGTACCAGGGCGATTGGGGGCATTATTATAGTTTAACTGTTAGCTTATTTGCATCTGTTCAACCATTTTTCGACTCTATCTAATAGCAGTAGGATGTAGATATTTTCTGGCTGACTAAACAAAGTAATCACAGAGTACTGAATAATTTCTACTATGAATTGTTGAGTGTTTGATCTGTGTGTTTTTAATTCAAAATCCTAATGATTCTTAAATTTTCTATGCTGTGATATATTGAAGATGATAGAATACTTCATGTGTATACCTAACTAAGGAGATAAAAACCTAGTCAGTTGATTGTCCAACTGTTGATGTTGACGCTCGCAAATCTGTTCAGTAGTAGTTGTTTTACGACAAAGTCAAAGATAAAAGTATAGTCTAGAACTTCGCATCGAACATAGTTCTTACCCTTCCCCAAGCTGAACACTATCACCGTTGTTGCTACCTTGATGTGGTGGTCGGGCTTGCCTATCGTGATGAAGCAACCGAGCTATACTGGCTGGAACAACCGTTCCTCAAGGTCCTACCATGTCAGACAGGTCGGTTGAAGAGCGGTAAGACTAAAAGCAACAAACCCAAGGTCCGAAGGCGAAGTCGTACTGCTGACTGTACAGAGGTGTGACAGCAGTAAGGTGTTTCCTTCAGACAACCAGCATGACAGCGATGCTGCCTTCCCACAAGGAGGGGTGTGGTTAGAAAAGGTCGACCCTAAAAATGCACACCTCACCTTACCTCACGGATTTCCGTCTCCGGCGGTAAGGCCCTTTGAAGAACGGAGCTAACACGTCAAAAACCTCCTACGAAAAGGCCGTGCGCGACCGGCCTCAAGCAGTTGTCCCTTGGGCACTGCGGTCACGCTCTCAGGTCACTAAGACCACCTTTAATCCAATTTCCTTTTCAGGTACCTCCAGAACAACCCTTCCACGGTGTGGGCAACCGGGAAGTGATAACCGCCCTCATACCTCTAACAGCACCCAAGACCACTGTATTCATAATCAACCTCCCTCTTCAATTCCTATTATTCCTCCTACATCGACTTTCAACTCTAAATTTCCTCTCTCGGCTTCCACCTCAAGTGTCACCATAGCCAACGATTCTAGTGCTCAAAACACTGTCCCAGATCTACTGAAACCTCGCTCCATACTACACATTGGAGCCGTCAACGTACGCACCCTATGTCAAATCGGTCAGCAGGCTTCCTTGGCTAAAACCCTAGAGTCTCTTTCCATTGATGTATGCTGTGTCTCCGAAACACGCATACAGGATCCCAGTGTGGTCATTCACTTGACCTCACCTCGGCAAAACGGAGAGCCAACAAGATACACCCTTCGTGTATCTGGTGACCCGATGGCAAGTTCTCGTGGACTGGCAGGTGTAGGCATAGCACTAAGCATGAGGGCGGAACAAGCACTGCTAGAGTGGATCTCCGTCAACAGTCGTCTATGTGCTGTTCGGCTGAACGGCTACGTAAGAACTCGGAAGGATAGGGACACACGTCGTTGCCTTTTTGTCGTTTCTGCCTACGCTCCCACTGACTGCAGCTCAGATGAAGTGAAAGATGAATTTTACAGAGAGCTGTCCAAACTTCTTCAGAAAGCTAAACGCTCAGACATAGTACTCGTAGCAGGTGATTTTAATGCTCAGATAGGTAGTTTAAACCAAACAGAAAGGCATTTAGGTGGATATTTCAGTGTTCCGACACAGCGAACAGATAATGGTGATCGTCTGCTGCAGCTATGCTCAGACAATCGTTTATTTTTAGCAAACACAAATTTTAAGCATAAGGAGAGACATCGTCTAACATGGCGACCCCCTACACCAAACCAACGATGGACTCAAATAGACCATATTGCCATCAGTCATCGTTGGAGAGGGTCGGTAGAAGATTGTCGCTCATTCTGGAGTACCTGCTTGGACTCCGACCATGCCCTAATACAGGCACGCATCTGCTTGCGCCTCACTGGACGCAAAAAAGCCACATTAAAAAGACCCATTAGAACTGAGTTGAGTAGCGAAAAAACCAAAAGTAGGTTCCAAGAACAACTGAGGTCACACTTAGGTAGTTCTGAAAACGAAGCTGACCCAGATGTTGCTTGGAAAAATATACAAACAGCTGTGGAAACAGCAATGAAATCTATTAGTGACTTAAACCACAGAGTTACAAAGAACCAATGGATTTCTTCAAGGTCTGTCACACTGATGGATTCTCGTAAACTCGTCCCATCAGGTTTTGAACATGATGAAGAGCGTAAACAAATCAGATCTAGGTTAAAGAAAAGTCTAAGGAACGACCGTGAGCAGTGGTGGGCAACGAAAGCAAAAGAGATGGAAAAGGCGGCAACTATAGGGAACACAAGACAGCTTTACAGACTAATAAAAGAAACTGGAATTAATAGGTCAAGTGTGAGATTATTTCGGAAAAAAGATGATACTCTCATCTGCTCCCAGTCCAGGCGTTTAGAACGATGGGCGGAACATTTTAGAGAACAGTTCAGCTGGCCTTCAGCTACTCTACAACTACCCTCCATTCCCAGACAGTGTGAATGGAACATTGAAGTAGGTCCCCTAACTCTAGCAGAAGTTCAAAAGGCTATAGTTAATCTGAAACGAGGAAGGGCAGCTGGTCCAGATGGATTGGCTCCAGAGGTCTTTAAGGATGGTGGTCCAATTTTAGCGATTAAGTTGACTAATATTTTAGCTAAGATCTGGGAATTAGACTTTATCCCATCTGACTTGTCGCAATCACTTATCGTCCCAATATATAAGAAAGAGTCAAAATCATCTTGTGACAACCACAGAGGGATTAGTTTAACTAATATAATATCTAAAATACTAGCCTCGATAATTATCAGACGCCTAACTAAGACTCGTGAACTGCAAACACGAGAGAATCAAGCTGGCTTTAGACCTGGTCGTGGCTGCATCGACCACATATTCACCATTCGTCAGGTTCTAGAACACAGGCATACCTATCGGCGTCCGACGATGGTGGTCTTTCTTGACTTAAAAGCAGCATTTGATTCTGTAGACCGCGAGACTCTGTGGCAGTGTCTGTCATTGAAAGGCGTACCTCAGAAGTACATAAACCTTGTGAAGGCTCTTTACTCGAACACTACTAGTCGAGTCAGGGCTTATGGCGAACTGTCATCTACTTTTGCAACTTCAAGTGGTGTCCGTCAAGGCTGTCCGCTTTCTCCATTTTTGTTTAACTTCATCATAGACCTATTGATGGAAATAACACTCTCGTCGACTGAATTCTCGGGTATTGATCTCCTTCCAGGAGGTCCACTTATCGACTTAGAATACGCAGATGACATAGTCCTGTTTGGTGAAGACGCTGACAAAATGCAGAGTCTTCTGGTAGCACTAAGCAACAATGCCAGAATGTTTGGGATGCGCTTCTCTCCCTCTAAATGCAAGTTGTTGCTTCAGGACTGGTCTGCATCAACACCTGAACTAAGGATAGGGAGTGAAGTAGTCGAACGCGTTGACAACTTCACTTATCTTGGAAGTCTGATCAGCCCTAATGGGTTGGTATCGGACGAAATCTCAGCACGGATTCGAAAAGCTCGTTTGGCTTTTGCCAACTTACGTCACCTTTGGCGGAGGCGAGATATCCGTCTATCAATAAAAGGACGAGTATACTGCGCGGCAGTCCGTTCTGTCTTACTTTACGGCAGCGAAACATGGCCTTTAAGAGTGAAAGACACCCGTAAGCTACTAGTATTTGACCACAGATGCCTTAGAAATATTGCTGGCATCTGCTGGGATCACCGGGTAAGTAATAGTGAGGTTAGACGCAGGGTATTAGGGAATGATGGTAAATCAGTTGATGAGGTTATGAATCTTCATCGACTGAGATGGTTGGGCCACGTATTATGTATGCCTGAACACCGATTACCACGACGTGCAATGCTAACCGGTGTAGGGGATGGTTGGAAGAAAGTTAGGGGCGGCCAAATCAAAACGTAGCATCAGTGCCTGAAGTCACTAACTTCTAGTCTGAGCCATGTTGGTAGATGCAGACTACTTGGTTGGGGTCCGCGTGACTTTCGTAACCAATGGTTGGAGACTCTTGGTGACATGGCTCAGAATCGATCACAATGGCGTCGGTGTATACACTCCCTGTCTTCCCTTAAACTTAGAGATTAAAATCACTTCATATCTTTCTTTCTGCGAACTAATTCTTTCTTCCTATACTATATCCTTATTGCAACCTTTGACCTAACCACTCCTATGAATCCGGTGTTCATCTTGCTGTGCTAATGAGGTATGGCAACCTGGACCGATGCACATATGTGCCTGGTCCTACGTTGTAGCTGACTGACTGACTGACACTATCATAATATAGAACAATAACAGCATATAAGGTACCTCTTTTGTGTTTGTAGGCAAACTAATGTAGATCCATATGTACTTTTAGCCCAGGTTGAATTGGGAGTAGCATTAGTTTTTCCATTGTTTTAAGAAAAGGTGAAAAGGTTATTGCTATGGATCTAAATTGTACATCCTTATCAGCAGATACTTTCTTAGGTATTGGGATTATCTTAATTGTTCTCTACATTGTTGGTATAAGATTATTTGAGAAAGATTCGTTAAAGATGCTCGTGAATGGAGGACAAAATGTCACATTTCTTAAAAAGGAGGTTTTGGATTTCTTCAGGTCCCGAACAATTGGATGAGTTAACTGACTGGGGACCTTTTTGGACATCAGTTTCAGTGAAAATTGGAAGAGTCAGTTATTCAAAAACGTAGAACTTCGTACGTACGTACGAACGTACATCAGTTCGAGTTGCCATACCACATTAACACACAGACACAATTGTCGATTCAAATCCCATAGTGGTACAGGTAGTAAAAGGATAAGTAGTAATCGGAAAGATTAGGGTTTTAAGATGTTATTCTAGGAGTATAATCCAGTGAAATAAATTTGGAAAGAGAAAAAATGGGACAAGAAGAATTCAGAAGATTAGAACATAGATGCACCTGCACCATTGCAAACGATTTTGAGCCATGTAATTCAAGGTCTCTAACCATCGGTCGCTACCGTCTAACGGATCCCAACCAGGTAGTCTACACCTACCAACATGGTTCAGTCCACCTATCAGTGACTTCATGAATTTGTGCAGTGTTTTGGCCGCTCCTGTCTTTCTTCCGACCTACTTCTACACAATAAAACATTGCACGTCGGGGTAGTCGGTGGTTGGGCATACGTAACACGTGTCCCAGCCATCTCAATTGATGATGTTTCACTACTTCATCAATTGATTTCCCATCCTTATCTAGTACCCATTTCCTAACAACTGCATTACTTACTCGGTGGTCCCAGGATATACGAGCAATATTTCGAAGACACCCATGATCAAATACTAGTAACCTACGGATATCCTCTACTCTTACCGGCCATGTTTCACTGCCATAAAGTAGGACGGAACGAACTGCTACGCAGTAAACACGTCCTTTGGTTGGTTGACGGATAATCTCGCCTACGTCATAAATGACGCAAGTTGGCAAAAGCTAGTCGAGCCCTCTGCATCCATGCTGAGATTTCGCCAAATACCAGACCACAAGGGCTGATGAAACTTCCAAGCTAAGTGAAGCGATCGACACGCTCAACTACACACCTGTTCTTCAAACCTTTATTATTATTTATTTAAACACAAACATTGGTACAAGGAGGCACCAAATACATATGCGCCACATAAATCATTCGATTTGTGTGAGGGCTGTGATACTGCCCGGGTGCCCAAACCGAAGCAGGTGGTTTTCTTAGGGGCCCACACCCCATTCTTCAAACCTTTGTATATAAGAAGCATGATATCACATGGTTCATATACAAAAGACTTATTTAGGTCACAAGCATTCATTAACTAAGCAATGCTAACTTTATTTATCTAGTAATTAATGGTGATTATAAATAATTTATTTATGCGTTACATAATTCTAATCACTGCCTGTATAAATGCACTCTAAAGGCTTTGGTTACGAATAAGTTCGAAGAATTGCTAGGATTGGCTAAACGATATATAAAGTAATTATGTATTAATGGTGTGATTCGTGCCAGTTAGCTCTAGGATTGTGATCGTAGTTTGATGGATAGACTACTTCGCTTTGGATCCATTGGTATATTGACGTAATAATGAAACTAACCTATCAAGAGAAGGTAGTTAAAATGACAACTTAGTTGTGTGTCCATACCGGTTTTTACTAGTCAGGGAATCTTATAAAATATCGGCTCATTCCGTGTAGATCCATGTACAATACCTTCTGGTTACATTCTAAGCGTGAGGATTTATGATAACTCCCGGCCTCTCAAACCAAAGTAGGCGGAGTGGGGTTCGAACCCCAGACCTATTGTCTGAAAGTTGGATAGCTTAACCACTGAGCCACTGTTCCATTATAATGGCGATAAGTACTGTATTCAGTGCATGCTGTTACATCCAGATAGTGAGTTCTGGGTAGAAAATAATGCACACTGAGTCCTTTGTCTGACACTTTATCTTCCACTACTAAATCTATAATCACAAAGATTGTTAAGGGGTTATATACAGGTACATACCTTATTATAATCATGAAAAAACAAAAACTTCAGGGAAAAGAAAAGTAAATGATATTTTTAACAGTTGAATTCATGAGTCGGTCTAAGCTAAACTGCCATGGAGAACCTGGAAGCACTAGATGGCCGTTTTGTCGCAGTGTGGAACTCCTCAGTAGTACGTATCCGTGATTCCGTATGCGGGACTGAAACCCAGGACTTTGGTCTCGCACGTGAACTCTTTACCTTCCCATACTGATAAATGCTAATTATTTAGTTGGGTAGATTGTGTCAATTAACTCAATTTGCAAATGGTACTCGTCATGGATTGAGATGAATTACTATCTCTTAGTTTTAAATTCTACAAAAATCATACCTTAGAACCATTGAAATCTTTCAGTCATCACGCTCCCTTTTAGTCAGTCAGTCACCTAAAACGTAGGACCAGACACATATATGTATCGGTCCAAGTTGCCATAACTTGTTAGCACAGCAATACGAACACCAAATTCATAGAAGTAGTTAATTCAGTCGTGGTAATGTATAAAAGAAAGATTGCATATAAGGATATAGTACAGGAAGAAAGAATTAGTTTGTAGAAAAACATAAAGCAATTTTAGTCTCACGGTTCAAGGCAAGACATGGAGTGTATGCACCTACGGCTTTGTGATCGATTCTGAGCCATGTCACCCACAGTCTCCAATCATTGGTTAAGATAGTCACGCGGACCCCAACCAAGTAGTCTGCATCTACCAACATGGCTCAGACTATAAGTTAGTAACTTCAAGCACTGATGCCACGTTTTGATTTGGCCGACCCTAACTTTCCTCCAACTATCCCCGAACACTAGTCAGCATTGCGCGTCGTGGTAGTCGATTTTCACGCATACGTAATCACCACAGAGTCTCAGAATTGTAAACATGTATTATATTTTCATCTTTAAATAATACAATTCATTCACCTAATAGTGATCGCTGTACTCCTCTCTCTCTCGTTATTTTTCTTGTCATTTCAGTCAGATAAATGGGGTGGAGGTATTGAAGTATCAATTTTATCACAATTATATAAAATTGAAATATGTATTGTAGATATTGAATCATGTCGAATTGATCGTTTTGGTGAAGATCAAAATTATCCTAAAAGAATTTTATTAATTTATGATGGTATACATTATGATCCATTAGCACAAGAATGTCCAAATCGTAATTGTTTAATAACTGTATTTTCATCAAATAATGATTCAGTATGTGTGTGTGTGTGTTACATTTTATTCTAATCAATATATTCATATTCATATTATTATTTTAACACATAGATATTGGTACAAGGAGGCACCAAATACATATGCGCCACACAAATCGCATTCGATATGTGTGAGGGCTGTGATATTGCCCGGGTGCCCAAACCGAAGCAGGTGGTTTTCTTAGCAGGTCACCCCTCGAGTCTTCAACCTGAAGGTCTGATCCACAAGGCAGTGGGGCATCGTAAGGAGATGCAGTCCCATGGTAGCTGGTGATCAATAATTGGTTTATACGTCATTTTTTCCCTCAGGGTACTGGAACCCATGTGCACCATTGATTTGGTTTGGGATCCGGTTAAAGCTCCGGACATTCACTTTTCGTCCTCTCATTTTCGTAAACAACAGTACTGCCACGAGAAGGTAGTGAGTAGGACTTCCCTGGCAGAGGCTATATACGCGTGGCCATGTGAGAGCATTTGGAGAGGGAGAGCGGACTCTTCCCACTCTCGGCCGTAGTAGGGCATATGTGTATTCTCTTTTTTGTATAAACATCTTCCTGTAATTATATAAACTCTTTCATCAGTCCTTTAGTTTAATTATAGAAAGTGAATTAGTCAAATATGTTAATTGATCATTCTCACCTTTCCTTTTAGAAACCTTTTTGAGCTGACATACTCTCAGTGTCAATATAAAACATCCATTTAGATTATGTTAGCTTTTATTGTTTATGACATAGTAGACATAATCGTTTGCTTGTTAGAAATCAAGTATATTACACAGCAATTTATCCTGTACTATTTTATGAGATTGAAGCATGACTTCTAAAGACAGTAGATATATGAGCTCGTAAATTGCTAATATTGTCACAATAGTCTCTAGGGTATTACTTCTGTACAGTAGAACTAGTAAATAATTAATGTTGAAGTTTACTTATTACTTATTTATTTAAACACATGAACATAGGTACAAGAAGGCACCAAATAGATATGCGCCAAAAAAATCGAGTGAGTTGTGTGAGGGATAGGATACTCCCCGGGTTCATAAACAGAAGCAGGTTGTTTTCTTAGGAGGCCACACCCCGGGCCTTTCACCTAAAGGTCTAACCCACATAACAGTGGAGTAACGTAAGGAGATGTAGTCCCATGGTAGCTGGTGATCAATAATTGGTTTATACGTCATTTGTTCCCTTGGGGTCCTGGAGCCTACTTGCACGATTGGTTTGGAATGAGGGTTTTCCAACTCTCCTATGTGGACTCTCCGTGTTCACCAATCCGGTTCAAGCTCCGGACATTCACTTTTCGTCCTCTCAATTTCGTAAACAACACGGGTGGTGCGAGTGGGCGGTGAGTAGAACTTCCGTGGTAGTGGTTGTATGCACGAGGCCATGTGAGAGCATTTGGAGAGGGAGAGTTGACTCTCTCCACTCTCAACCGTACCAGGGCATTTGGGGGCTATGTTGAAGTTATGTAGGAATGATTAATTCATTTATAAGTTCATAAAATGTTATCTTCTCAGATAGTTCAAACAAATCTTACACGTTTTCATCCACTAACCTACCTTATCAATGAAATTTAATTCATAATTATGTAACTCATTATCGAGTACAGGTATTTGTAGTTGGCTTCGATTCATAATGTTTGGGAATGTTGATTGGTAACACCTGTCACCGTTACCCAAAGTGAAATAAAGATGGTAGTACAAGCAGGGTTCAACTTAGTGATTAAATATTAGAAATATTCCCTACCACTAAACCATAACTTAACAACATATCGATCTAGTCATAATGTTGACCATTAGTCACATGTGACCCAATATGGCGTTAAACTATGTTAATGAAAGAGAAGATAATCGATAAGTGATATGACAGAACATGAATTACGCTTGATAATTATCTATTAATTCCATCGGATAGTGAATAAACGATTTATTCTCCTACCGTCCACTTGTCAAATATCTTACGCTTATGTCAGTAGTCCAATCGTATTAGCAGCTATCACTCACCCATAAATCGTATCACTGTATATAATCTCTCAATTCACATTCTATCCATTCATTTTAACTATCAAAAATTGTTTGATCAAATCAAGAAATTCTACTCTATAACAATGGGAAAAACCTCCCATTTGGCACTAGTTGACGACACTCTTTGACACAAGATGTGTCCATTTCTTTTAATAAAGATAGATAGTGGCTAGCATTGGAGTCCAGAACGCGCGTTTCGTCCTATTTGGGACTCGTCAGCTGGATGTATCTGCATCTCAGAGAGTTGATGTTCACTGTGGGACTCGAACCCAGTACCATTCGCTTCATACTCCATCACATTATCCACTTAGTTACTGAGTCCTGATAACCACCTGCTTGTGCAATGGGGTGAAGTTTTAAATTCACTTGGTATTGTTTTACTTGTGTTTTTCCAAAGCTTGTGACTTAAGGCTATATCAAAGCAATCCGCACAGGATGCACATATGTCAACATGAAACTGATCAATTGCTGTCCTAAATAAAAACAATGGCAAGATACAAGTAAAACAACATTAAGTGAATTTCTTTTAATATAATACAAAATTTTCATTATTCTTCCCCCCTCTCTCCATTGTTATTTTTATACATAGATTCTTTTTGAAGCTCAACAATTAGCATCAAAAGCTCGTGCTGAATGGGCATTCACTGATCTTTCATCATTTACATTACTTTGTCGACAATGTGATGCACCATTAATTGGTCAAGAAGCTGCACAAAAACATGCACAATTAACAGGTCATACACAATTTAGAGAAATTTTACATTAAAAATATCAATTTAATTGAAGTATATTCAATATAATTGTTACATATCTTGACTGTTGCTTTGTTCTTCTCCCCATCCCCTCCCCCCTCTCTCTCCCCTTTTCTGGTAGTATTACAAATTGAATGTAAAATGAATGATTTGTTTTGCTCAATGTATTCGCTTTAGTTTTCTCTCTGATTTTTTTGTTGGTATTATCATTAATAAGTGTTGCTAATGTTTGTTTTCTTTTTTTTCTTTTTCTTTTCTATTTTTCTTTTGTTTTGTGCAAAAAAATATATTTTCATTGTACAAATTGTAGGAACTTATTACATTGTAGAAATGGTATGATTTCAATTGTCTATCCATTCAGTGTTTCTATCTGACTTTGTTAATTAATCTACTTGTAACTTTGATAAATACAATCATGGATGTGAATGTGTCACATACACACGTATGGATACATGTGTTTTTTTTTCTCTTTAGAATTATTGGTTACATTGTGTACATCTGAATAATATTTGGTTGAGGATAGACATTAACACTATTAGATGCCGACTCAGTGGTTTAATAGAGGTTAAGCGTTTGAGACTGATGGTCCTGGGTTCGAATCCCACGATCGGGATTGTGGATGTGCACTGCTGAGGGGTCTCATAATAGGACGAAATGGCTATCTAGTGCTTTCAAGTTTTCAATGGTGGTCTAACATCAATCGGTTCATGATGTCAATCAGAATAATATTTGTCTTGTTTTATTAATCCGGTTATCGCTTTTTCTTTGAATGGAATAAAATGCAATTTTTTTAATGAAAAAAAATACTTTAAATTATATACGTTTCGTTGCTACTGATCTGGTTATCAGAATACATAGTAAAGGATGTCGAAATCAGTTACAATGGTGCCAGTGTATTCTATATTTATCTTCCTCATGAGCTTGAAACGAATGGCTGACTAATCTCATCTTTTTTCTGGATAGTTGAATATATCTACATTGTAGCAAGTGTTCTTTAATAACTACCAGAGATGATACTGACAATATCTAACTTGTTGATCTAAAGTTCACTTCAAAGACTAAAAATCTAGGGTTCGACTTCTTGTGTGGTCGTGGATGCACACCTCAGAAGAGTCACATATTAGGATAAAACAACCTTTCAGTGTTTCTTGATATCTGAGATTCTCTACAAATAGCTAGTGTACAGAGGTTAATCATTCTGATCTGAAATATCTAGTTGATCGCAACTAGGTAATCCTTCACTGTTTGTGTTGTTTCTGTGATTCTTTTAGGAAAAAGGGTTGTAGTATCGAAAAATTGACTCACTCATAATAAACACCTGTACAAAGAACGAGGCTGATCTTGAACAGTGAATCCCATACCAGGAAAGTTAGATATTTTGTCTTCGTAAAGTGAAAAGGCTGAGAAACAAATAGAATTTTGTTTAGAAATTGTTGATGAGTTTTGAAACCGTGCATACGCACTGTTGAGGAGTCCCATATTAGGACGAAACGGCCGTCCAGTGCTCCCAGCTTTTCCATGGTGGTCTAGCTTCAATTGACTCATAATGTCAGCTATTGAAATTACTAAAATCTCCACAAAGCCCCTTCTGACATATAGGTTAATTCAGAACACAAACCTGAATTACGGTAATGCGATAATAGACTTCATAATAATTCTTAATTTAAGTTTTGTCTACTTAAATTATTTATCAGTAGCTTACGTGAAAAATTCGTTTTTATAGAGGTTTCACTAAGTCTTACACTTCCACGATCATATTTATAAAACTGATGAATAACTGTCAATCTATGTTTCCTAATAGTAGTTGGACAAGTTTTTCTACACATGAGAAAAATTGGATTCAACAAAATTAATTTTCGATGTGTTATTTTTCGCTTTTAATAATAGTACTTTTACACAAACTCCGCTTGTAGCTCTCTCAGAGTTATTACCGGTCACAAGCCCGGATAAGGGATGAGGGTTGGACATGGGGTCAGCAACCCGATCCCGTAGAACAAAATTTTGCTAAAAAGACGTCAACTATTACTTTTATACACCTATATATGTCCCATTGAACTCATGAACCGACCTAAGTTAGATCAAAATCCAAAACCTGGAAACATTGGATTTCCGTTTGGTTCTAGCGTGGGGATCCTCAGCAATGCATATTCAGGCTTTCAATGATGGTCTAAGTTAAATTGGCTCATTATTTCAATGAAATTCTATATTCTCCACAATTACATAATTAGAGCTATGCATATCGATTTGCTTTTTAACTCCATCATATTCTATATTGATTAATTCTGATTTCGATTAGTAAATGAGAAATATTTATAGAGATCCGATTGTTTCAATTATAAATTGTTGGGGATATCCAGAAAACTCCTCGAAAAAAGCCAAAAAAAGTCTCTGAAGACACTGAGAAGCATCTTATTCAGTCAGTATTCAATAGAAGCTTTGCAAGATACATCTAGAAAGTGAAAGGTTACATGTTGCTTTTCTGATTGGATGATTACTTGTACCGCTACTATGTTTAATAGAGTTCCAGACTTTTTGGAGAATTCAAGAACATTTAAAATACTATAAAAACCCTATATTTTCTGTACATAAACGAACCTTTGGAGTAAAGTGTTTTTTATAATATTTTGCACCTTTCCTCTGGTGTTCAAGTCGTTGTGTAGATCTAGTCTAGGGGTTAATAGAAGAGCTTAGAAACTAAATCTAGCATTCAGTTAGCAAAACTTATCACAAATATACATATTAAATGATGTACTACCGTCAGTATTTTCTGGTTGGAAATCTACACCTTTGAAATAAAATTGCAGTGTAGTTGTTATAATAAGTTTTACAAATACAATCCATAGGTTATCTCGTTTATCAATTGGCTCTAGATGTACTACTTGATGTTCCGAATTGGACTGATGGATATTTATTGTTAACTCCACCTTAAGCTCTTCTAGAGTTACTGCCGGTCCCAAGCCCGGATAAAGGAGGAGGGTTATGCATGTGGTTAGCAACCTCATCCCGTAGAAAATTAACTCACTAAAAAAACGCTTACCAGATAAAATAATTCAAACCATTTTAACTCTGCCCTGGGAGTTAGAAGGTCTTCATTTAGAAGAATTATGACGCCTCATGGTGAAAGTCCAGTTCCTTCGGAAGTTACGAGGCCGATGCCCCTTCTAACAACCAGAGCAAAAATTTTTATAGGTACATGGAACGTCCGGAAAATGTGGGAGACCGGGAAGACTAGTCAAATAGCAACGGAAATGAGGAGATACAACTTGGCAGTACTTGGAATCAGCGAAACCCACTGGACCCAAGCTGGACATAAAAGGCTAAATACGGGAGAGATGATGCTATACTCTGGCCACAAAGAGGAAAATGCTCCACACACTCAGGTAGTCGCTCTTATGCTGTCCAAAGTAGCACGAACTGCACTTGTAGGATGGGAATCTCACGGATCCAGAATCATCAAAGCATCATTCAAAACAAAGAAGGAGGAGATCTTAATGAATATTATCCAATGTTATGCACCCACCAATGATAGCAACGACGACATTAAAGATCAATTCTACGAGCGGCTGCAGTCAATCATTGAGAAATGCCCAAAAAAGGACCTAACTATTCTGATGGGACGACATGGACTGGGAGAGAGAAACGAAAATGGAGAAAGATTTGCAAATTTGTGTGCATTCAACAAATTAGTCATAGGAGGCACAATATTTCCGCACAAGCATATACACAAGGCTACATGGATCTCACCGGACCACACTACAGAGAACCAGATAGATAATATGCATCAACAAAAAATTCCGAAGGACAATGGAAGATGTGAGAACCAGGAGAGGTGCTGACGTAGCTTCAGATCACCACCTAGTTGTAGCCAATTGAAAACTGAAGCTAAAAAAGAACTAGACAAGTGGACAAACAGCACTACAAAGGTTCAATACAGCCTTCCTTCGAAATACTAACAAACTCAATGAATTCATGATAGCTCTCAACAACAGGTTCCAAGCCTTACCGGATTTACTGAGGGAAGAAGAAACTAATATGGAAGACAGCTGGAAAGGTATCAGAGGAGCATTAACTTCAACGTGCCAAGATGTTCTGGGCCTCAAGAAGCATCATCATAAGGAATGGATCTCTATAGAAACACTGGACAGGATCAAAGAAAGGAAGAACAAGAAGGCAGCAATAAACTACAGCCGAACACGAGCAGAGAAATTCCAAGCACATGCTGAATACATAGAAGCAAACAAACAAGTGAAGAGGAGCATTAGAGCCGACAAGAAGAAATACGTTGAAGAAATAGCAACGACGGCAGGAAAAGCTGGTAGAGAAGGAAATATGAAACAGCTTTACGATACGACGAAGAAACTAGCAGGGAAATACAGTAAAACAGAGAGGCCGGTCAAAGACAAAGAAGGCAAGCCAATCACTGAAATTCAACAACAGCGGAACAGATGGGTGGAATACTTCGAGGAACTCCTGAATAGGCCAGCTCTAATGAATCCACCGGACATCGAAGCAGCACACACAGATCTTCCTATAGAGGTCAATCCACCAACGACGGAAGAAATCAGAATGGTCATCAGGCAAATCAAGAACGGAAATGCAGCTGGATCTGAAAATATACCAGCTGAAGCACTGAAGTCAGACATCGAAGTAACTACAAACATGCTTCACCTTCTGTTCAGAAAGATTTAGGAGGAGGAACAAGTGCCGACGGACTGAAAAGAGGGACACCTCATCAGGATTCCAAAGAAAGGAGATCTGAGCAAATGTGAAAACTACAGACGTATTACGCTACTGTCAGTACCAGGTGTTTATCAATGTAGACAGGAGAACATTAAGGATATTTACTCGACACTATGAAGTAGCTGAAAAAATCGTCGACATCATCGCGAATTCATACGACGGACTACAGTGCAAAGTGGTGCATGGAGGACAACTGACAGATGCACTCCAAGTAAGGACTGGTGTCAGACAAGTCTGCTTACTCTAACCGTTTGTCTTTCTTCTAGTGGTTGAC